GGACTTTTTAAACTGTTAAATGCAGCAAGCTACCCCTTATATTAAAAATAAAAACTTACACTTCTAAAACAGTGTTTATATAAGCTATCTTTGAGCTTATGACTTACTCTGTTACATAACAATAACTTCTGCCAGTATTTTTACTGCTTCATTGGGGTTTGTGTTACCCTAGTATCTTTCTCAGATATTTTTCCCTCTAGGCTATAATGCCTGCCAAGTTCCAGAATTGAGTATGGAATTGGAACCTGACTGTAGTTCTAATTCCCAGGTAAGGAATCAGATTGTGGTCTGCCTTGTGCATTTCCTTGCCTGATGATGGGCAATATGAATAGCTTCATTTGCTGGATGCTTGACATTTTTTTTTTAATTGAAGTACAGTCATTTATAATTTATCAATCTCTGGTGTATAGCACAGTGTCCCAGTCATGCATATACAGATACATATTCGTTTTCATATTTTTTCCATTAGAGGTTATTACAGGATATTGAACATAGTTCCCAGTGCTACACAAAAGAAACTTTTTTTTTTTTGGATTCTTGACTTTTAACCCATTTTCCTGAGTCACAGCTTTAACTTCCTGATTGGTTTTAGCCCCATGCTTACTAATAAAGAGTGGTTGGTATATACATATTCCTGCTAAATGCTGTGTTAGGTCAGATAACATAAAAAGTAGAAATGCTTATAAGTAAAATGCTTATGAGCTTATGCTCCATGAAGGTTACTCATGCAGGAAACCACCAATTACTAGCCTTGGGGATCAAGAGCCAGCCAGAACTTAGACCTACTAAATAGGACAGCTACCCAGGATAAGCCTTTGAAAGTTGTGGTTTTAGGTTGATGTGCCCCAAAATAATTCTTGACCTCTGTTGTTCACTGACAAAAACTTCTCCCTTGGCTAGGAGCCTTGAAACTTTCTGGGGAGGTCCACTTAGCAAATTGAGGACTTTCCACTAGTGCCAGTCCTATCTTTATTCCATAACCTTCTGGGCAACGTAGTGGTAGTGGCAAGAACTAGTTTTGTCACTCGACACTGTCTATCTGTTGCCTTGTCTTGTTCACTAGAAATCCATTAGTTTTCTGTCAGGGTTAAGATGGGGACACAGAGAGTTACCTGTGGAATTCAGAAGAGGGATTCTCATGTGAGTACCACTCCCCCAACCCCAACAAACCAATAATTAAACTTCTTTTCTTCAGTGTTTTACAGTATATTATTGTCATATAAAGTCTGAGTTAGCTTTAATTATGTCAAAGTTCAGACATCTAAAGTACTACTGTGTTTATTGTAACCAATGTTGTGAGGTATATAAATAAAGACAGATCCCTTCCACATGGCAAGGTCAGGGAAATCAGACTTAGCTACCATCATCGTGTTCTTACTTATATAGCAGGTTGTTTTAACAATAAAATGAGATAGTGTGACAGTGTTTCAGATAATGTTCTTCAACACTAAATGATGTTTTCCAGCCTTGAGTTACATAGATATTTAGAGATATATTCTGACATTGATGTTTGAGATGGACTACAGTGTTGTGAGATAGTGGTTACTTGAAAGGCTGTCTTGCTGACCAGTGTAAGTCACTTTTGAGTGGCTACCCTTGTATAAGGATAGGGAGAGCATAATGAAATGCGAAGTAGAGTGTCTGGAGATTCTAATAGAGTAGTTCTACCCTACCTGCACAACTGTATTTCTTTTTATTAGTGAGTTCCATGGGTAGTTCTGATGTATTGCTTAGGTTTAGAACTTATTCATGTATTGGGGGCAGGAGTGAAGGCAGGAAACTTTAGTGAGTGGAGCAGTTGGTTGAAGGGAGAAGAATAGATACAAGGTCATGCAGATTTATCACACTTAAGAGTAAATAACAAAATTTAAAAATTGAAATCTATCAGGACTTGGTGACTAAATATGAGAACCTGAAAGAAAAGAATCAGTAGTATGGTTTTGCCTGTGGAAAAAATAATTGTATTAACACGGTGGTAATTAAGATGTTGGGGAAAGGTACTTACTATAGTATTTTTTAGACTATTGTTACTAAGAAATATCACTATTTCTCATAGTTATTTGGAGAAAATTTGAAAGATTTCCTATTGGGTATAGTTAAGTGATACAGAGGAAAATGTAAGGTGGTTGAAATGGGGACAGCAGTAGTTGAATTGTTTATGTACACTTAAACATCTCAGGCACTTTGAGATTACAGAGTTGGATGGTTTCTATTTCCTTGATTTCTAATCCTTGTTAAGACGTTGAAAGAGCAGTCGTTCCCAAAAAGACTATGAGCTAATTTCAGTATTTCAGAAAGCTTAATGGAAATTATGTATTTACTTAGTTTAATGACCTACAAATTAAAATTCTTTTGTCTTTGGCTGGAGTAATATCAACTCAATGTTTTTCAATACTGGGTCTTTCTTATTGATTAAATACTTTGCTAGCAGTTACCCTTTCTGGTTTTTTACGAAAGTGAAAATGTTTACGAAAATGAAACAATACATACAGATTAGAAACATGGGGCTCGTGAAAAGAAAAAAATAAACAGAGTCTGCTTAAAAGGTTGATAGACAATATTTTTATTATATGACTTTATTTCTTTACCCATTTACTGGGAGGTGATGTCTTTGTCTTTATTAAATAGAAACACAGTTTGTATTTTAGAGCTTAGCTCTCCATTGAGTACATATATAAAAACTCCACAATAATTGCTGTTGCTTGTGCCAGAAAGTCACACTTTTTCATTGACTTCATTGCTTTTAAGTTTTTCCAATTTTGCTTTGATGGGTAGTAATTTGAAGCATTATTAAAAACATTTCTGGACATATCTTTATCTCTGTTTCTGCCACTCTTAAAACAGTACTTGTTGAATAAAATTACAAAATACTGCATGTAAATAGTAATGAAAGTTGAAATAAATGTTAAAATATAAGAGAGTTAAAAGAATAATTATGCTTTGACACTTAACACCAAATTGATTTGTGTTAATTTTGAGATTTAGAATAGATAAGCAATACTGAAAGCATAAATAATACTATACCTACCCTTAAAGATATACCTATCCATAAAGGTATAATTCTTTGTTTTATTAGCTAGTTGACATGCAGCTTTCGCAAATGTTGAAGATTTTACCCAATAGTCTTATTTTGGTGTTTTGTACTTGGCCATTGAATAGAATTATTTCAGACATTCAGTAGTGGTATGGAGTGGGTTGCAATAGCGAGGAAACTGCTGAGTGACGAGAAGCAGAGAACCTTTGGCCTCTTTCTCATTGATCCTTCCACCATGTTGTCTAGGGGTTATACACATAACTTCATTACCTCACAATTTTAAGTCCCCTAAGGAACAAACCCAGGTGAGGAAGCAGATATATCTATTAGAGCCTGGTGGTGTATGTATGGAGGGAAAAATAATTCTGCTTGGGGCGTGTAATTAAATTCTCTTTTGTAGGGTGTCCTTCCAGGGATACAGAGAAAAGTATGATATTGCTAGAGAACTGCAGAATAGAGAACCTTCTGGTCTTTATCCAAACCCCAGTATTTATCCAGTTCTCTCTGTCTCACACTGAATAACCCAAAATAATTTTATTTGGAACAATTCAACAAATAATTATGGAGTCCCTACAATATGCCAACACTGTTTTAAGTGCTTGACATATACTAGTGAACAAAATATACAAAGTCTCTATTCTTGTGGAACTTAATTTTAACAGGAGAAAACAGAATAACAAGTATGTACTATGTTAGGTAGTAAAGGATGCTTGTTTCAAATAGCTCTTGCTATTTAATAAGCTATCCCAAAATTTACTGGCTTAAAACAACTATTTTATTGATTTTTACAGTTCTTTGGGTTGAAAAGGGCTCATTTGCATGGTTCTTTAACTGGTCTCACTTGGGGTCCTTCATTGGCAGCTGGGCCTGGAGCACCCTACATGGCTATCACCCAAACATCTGTTGTTTGGGTGCTCAGCTGGGGCCTCAGTTTTTTCCCCCTTGTTTTCTCCATGTGGCTGTGTTCTAAGAGGGAATGTTCCAAGTATCCAAAGGCAGGATTTTTAAGACCTGGCATCTGAAATTGCATTGTCACTTCCATCACATTTCATTGGTCAAAACAGGTCATGGGGAAGGAAAATAGACGCCACTTTTTGATGGGCGGTGGTGACAAGATCACACTGAAAAAGAACACATAGGGTGGGAGATAATGTGGGTCACCTATGGAAACAGCAATGCTATTAAAAGTAAAAAATTAAGCAGGTTAATAGGAGATAGAGGAATTGGGGAGGGGCAGGAAGCACAGTGTTCTCCCCCGTGAGGCAACATAAGAGAGTGAGCAATGAATCAAAGACATTTTAAGAAAGAATATTCCAGGCAGAGAGAACAGAAAATAAAGAAGCTCTAAGGTGTGAGAATCCCTGGTGTGATCAAGGAATAGCAAGGAGGGAATGTGACTGGAGTGCAGTGATTCAGGGAGAGAGGTGGGGCATGGGGTCAGAGAGAGAGAGGTAAACAGATTTTGTAGCCCCTGGCAAAGGACTTTGGATTTTCTCTGAGTGAGATGGTAATCTGTTGGAAGATTCTGAGCAGAGGAGTTCAATGATCTGACTTAAGTTTTAAAGAATCTTGTTCTGAGAATCTTGGGCTTCTGATTTGAGACGAGACTATGAGAGGACAGACAAGAGTGGAAATAGGGAGTCAAGTCACAAGGTGCCCTGTGAGATGACAGATATGCTAAGCAGTGAGGGCTGGTTGGATTTTGGATATTCTTCAAGGTGGGACTGGCAGGATTTGCTGAGGATGGTGGAGATGGGGTGAGAAAGAAGGTTCAAGGATGAATCCCAAACTTTTGCCCTAGGTACCTGGAAAATTGGAATTTTCATTTACTAAGATGAGGAGCCTGGGGAAGGAGCAGGGTAGAGGTGAGGGAGATGCAAGACATGCATTTTTGGCTCCGTTAAGATGAATCTAAGAAGACATTTGGGGGAAAAAAAGTTTACTAAATGTTACTTCCTCATTGCAGGTGTGACGTTGAGTGCTTCAGATCTGGTCACTATGGTACGAGAACGAAAATGCATATTGTGCCACATTGTGTACAGCACAAAAAAGGTAATAATAGAAGAGGGAGAATCTGAGGCTTTTACAAGTGGTCATTTTTTTCAGAGACATGATATGGAATTTTATAGATGGGTAAAAGCTTTTAACAACTTTAATAACAATAACAATCTTATTTATGCTTGTTTCCTAAACCATCCTGTCATTTCACTGGTTTATTTCTCGTTACTGACTCATAAAGCTAGTAACTATGTTATTAAACCTCTATCTAGAATTTGAGGATGCTCAAAAGTATAATAAAGAGAAATTTGGTAATCAATTATAGAGAAAACTACATTAAAATTCAGGTTGAGGTTATAACAACTTTCTAATTAGCTAAGGTAATAGCATTGATATGTACTGACATTCTGTTTCTGCCTTACGTCTGTGAAAAGTGCAGCACAGCAGAAGTGGTTTTAAATAACTATGTCCTTAGATGTCCACAAGGTGGGGATGTTGCCTAAAGGAAAACATTTTTTTAGAACTAAAAGAATTTTCCTGTGCTTTACAGAAATTGGCTGCAATTTGTCTCACATTTTGCTTTTTTTTTTTTTGCCTTTATCCTTGCTCTCAAAGTAGTGCTACTGTCTTTTTTTTTCACATTTTTTATTGATTCATAATCATTTTACAATGTTGTGTCAAATTCCAGTGTTCAGCACAATTTTTCAGTGTGCTACTGTCTTAATGAGGATTTTTTTTTCTCTGTGGTTTTAAGATGTTCTTGATTGCCTTTGGAAATTCAGAGAACTGGGAAGATGGTCATTAGTGAGGTTAGCCAGGGAAGTATGCGTGAACCTTGAAGACTTTTGGGAATAAGATGGCTTAAAAGAAATGGAGAAGAGAGATTTTAGGTGGGAGAACAAAGATACAGAGGTGGAACGGCATGTAACAGTTCTAGGAGTTGGTAAAAAGACTTAACCTGATTAAAACAGTTTCATCTTAGGAATAGTAGGACTGCAATTTAATTTGTAATTTAAGTGAAGACAGTTGATAAACAGTGTTGAATGCCAGACTAAGGAGTTTTATTATGATTCATCCATTAGGCTGGGGTGAAGAATTTTTTTTTCTCATATAGGATTTCTGTTAGTGATGAAAGAATGAGTTGAGATTTTAAAATCATGTTTAGTAATATACCTGCTGCCTTTTGCAAAAGTAAAAGAACTACTCTTCTAGTTTGAAAATTTATACCAGGGTTTATTACAAATTTTCAATAAATAAAAATACCTTATGGCTACTTTCAGATTAGAAGGAGATGGGAAATCGAGAAGGTGTAAGATGTAAGATGGATAGACAGATACTTGGAGTTGTGGTGTCAGACTTTCAAGATAGGAGCAGGCCTATCTTGCTACATCTCATAATTCTGCAATTTAAAGAGTCTTTTTGGCATTTCTTCTACTCTGGATTAAAACATGTTTCATCTCTTCATACTTTTCCGTGGGTCCTAATACTGTTAAATCAAGGGCTGGGGTTATCTCCTCTTGCCTTAACGAAAGCCAACTATGGGTTTTTAAGCAAGGGAATGGCATGAGTTAAGTGTTAAGATATGGTCTAAGAAATTAATGGAACGGGTTAGTTGAAGGAGATAAACTCTGATACATATTTTTAGATAGACTATGAACAACTTATGTTGAAGCAGTGCTTTCCTCTGGTTTCCTGCACTAGTGTAACCCTGGTTTCTCCAGATACACTGTGAAGGAGAAAAGAATCTAAAGTGACTATATATTACATCCCTGAGTATCCTGATGCTTATTAACTTATTATGAAAGTCTGAGAAGCCCTGGAATTGAAAAATATTAAAAAAAAATTTTGTGTGTTACTCGGTGTTTTCCAAATTTGTTCAGCCTCAAATCCTTTTTCCCCCTTCTTTCCCTTCCTTTTAAAAACATAATAATGATACAAGGAACTAAATGGAAGCTTGGTATGCATATGGAGCTGTGCCTGTGGATCTTCCTTGGTTATTTTGAAAACTCAGTTGTCTCATTTGCATTCATTCCTTGGAGCAGAATGAGAGAGGATTTCACATGTAAATTTAGAAAAAGATTAGCGAAGTGTTTTAGGCAGTCAAAAGTCATATTAAAACTAGTTTTGAATGATAAGATTTTTATAACTGAAATAGAATGTAGAATTGGTTTTTGGTTTTTTTGGGGGGGTAGGGAAGAGGTAACTAGGTTTACTTTTTTCTTTTTTAATGAAGGTACTGGGATTTAACCCAGGACCTTGTGCATGCTAGGCTTGCACTCTACCACTGAGCTATACCCTTCCCCTAAAATTGGTTTTTATATTAGAGAGAATAACCCATTTCAGTGAATAGTGTTTTTCTTAGGAATGGTTTCATTGCAAGAAACAGAAGCCACTTAAATTTAGCTCAAGAAAAGGAGATTTGGCATATGTTAAATATAATCCAAGCAAAAATTGAACAACAGGCAGCATAGCAATTTGAGCAGGTGTTGCATGTTCGTGGATTTTTTTGTTCTGTATCCTGTCACTAAATCAACTCAGTTTTCAGCTCTGTGTAAGTGTTCATTCTGGTTAATAGCCAATCAGTTGCAGCTAAAGGAGTCATATGTATGTGATCCCTCTGTATGAAGCCTCTGTAGAGATGGGAAAGAAATGATGGTCATCTTCAGTAAAATTACCATTTAAAGGAGGTGTTTTGAATCACAACACTGTATATCACACTTTGTGTCGACAATTTAAAGTAAGAATAGGCTGTTGTACCCATTTTGACATTGAAACTGTGTATAATGAAAAATCTCAGTGCACTAGATGCTTACAATGTGACATGGTGTTTGAAACTTTGGCTTTGGTGTTAGATCTGCCAGTGTTTGAATCCAGCTTCACCACTTGATTATCTATGAATGACTGTGAGGGCAAGAAGGAATATTTTCATAGTGATCCTTTCAATGCCTACCTCTGTACTTGGCACATAATAAGCCCTTGATAAATATCAGGTGAGTAAACAAGTTAGCTTCTTTGCATCCTCGTGTCCTTATGACGTTAGTTATACTCCCATAGCAGTGTTTTGTGGTTCAAGTGAGAAAATGTTTGAGACATTTAGCATAGAGCACAGTTAACAGTAATGCTCAACAATTGTAGTGACTCTTTTATTATACATATAAACAACCATTCTTGAATTATGGCATACTGGCTATATATACTTTCGTGTCACAAAGTGATAGACGTTAACAGCTTTCTGAGTTTTCTGAGATGTGTGCATGTATGTATCATGCTTGCACTCTTAAGTGGAGGCTCTTTCCACAAACTTTATTTTCTTTTGACAAAGGGTAGGATGGAGGGAAGGGAGAATCTGGTAAATTTTTTATTTAAATCTTTTCTTTCTGGTTCCCCTTTTCTTACCTAGTACATTTTAAACTTTTGCTTAGAATGAAACAAATCATTGGAGTGGGGGAGGTAGTGGGCAGTGAAGATGAAGGCATGATTGAACAGCTGTATTCAAAGTATTTCTTAAAAGCTTCTTGACCTACCATAGAAGAGGTCTGTTGTATCTGAAACTTCTGTCTAGAATTGATGTATCCATCTGTTCATCAACAAATATTAACCACTGTATGTCAGGCTCTGGCCACCTGGGTAAGAGTTCTAAGTTAATCTTGAGAAACTCTCAGTTGAATGGGAAAAGAGAATATGGAGAGGAGTAGCCAAGTAGTTGAGAAGTTACGTGATTTCAGAGTTTGGTTTTTGTTTTTAATAAACTTAAGTAAATTCCTTACATTAAGACAGAATTTAACCTATTTGTTTTTATTTAATCTTTTGTCTCCTAAAGACAAAATACTTTCTAACCCCCTCCTTGGAAAGCCACTTAAATAAATCTTTCTTAAAAATTCCTTTATTTAAGAATGAAATATGTCAAAAGCGCAGAATTAAGAATTACTTAATAAGAAACTGATTCCAGAATTGAATCGAGAATAAGCACACAAAACAAAACACAAGGAGCTTGAGCCCCAGTTGTTGATTGAGTAGGATAGAGGAATTTTTCCCCCAGAGCAATCCCCCTTAGTTTAATCTGCTCTCTTTAATTTTGAAGGAGATGGACGAACACATGCGGAGCATGTTGCATCACAGGGAACTTGAGAACCTGAAGGGCAGGTATGGGAACGGCTGTCTTCTGTAAATTCGTGGATGGGGGTGGTCTGAGGACTGATGCTGCCTGTCATCTAACTTCATAGTAATCGTTCATAAATGAGTACTGTCTTATGGCATAGAACTATCTTTTGGAATTAATAACAAGACCAAAAGATTTATTTTTTGGCATTAAAAGGGGTAAATCTTTGTACATCTCAAATGTGTAGAATTCACAGCAGTTCTGGCAAATAGATCCCAACAAAGGTATGTTGGGATGATTTAGTTCTCTGATTAGTGAGCTTTCTCATTCCCACACCAGCCTTGCAACTAGGACATTTCATATTATTGCCTCTGTAGTGTTCAAATTATTGCATACCATAAACTTTTACTGTTGCTGAAATAGTCTGAGAAGTCCAAAGTCTGCTAAATTGCACTGAATCTCGTTAGTGTAAAATAAAATTGAAGTATAAACCTTGAGTATTTAAGAATGCTGTTTTGTGAATTAAAGCTTGAGATGTTTAAGGAAAGAAAATTGAACAAATAAGCACCTTTAGAAAATTAAATGTAGCATGTATGTATATTCCATGTCTTTTTTCCATTGATGGTTCCTTTTTTGATGTTTTGGATATATGTGAAATTTGAAGTTTGAAGAAAGTATGAAACAGAGAAACATTGGGAAACTGAGAAATATAAATTATACCTTAATCTGCAAATTGGTTACAAGCTTGGATCAGGATGCCAGCCTAAGTCATTTGAAATTATTTGTATTTTAAGTAATACAGTTTTAGGTTGTGTGGGCAAATTAATAGACTTTCAGCATCTTTTAAGCATATTAGTGGAATTTTTCCATGGTCTTAATACCTTACTGTGTCAAGGTTAGGTCTTAGCAGCAGGATAAAAGAGGCTTTCACTCAGATTTCATGTGAAGAGCCCTTATCATAATACCTTGAATATATATGATCTTTATCTCACCATTGGAAACCTATGAAATACAGTCAGCCTTTGATTATCTTTCTACATGTGGATTCTCATAATTACTCGATCCCATTTTCAACAGACTTCCTCCTAGGATTCACCTTTTTCTGGGCTGCTTACTGACCTGTACTGTATTATAAAGTCAAAACAAATGAGGTCAGTAAATCTAGTCATTAGGAGAGAAGCCCATTTTATTCCAAGATTAGTTCCTTATTTTATTCAAAGATCACTAGTCAGCTGTTTAAAACATTTTGATATCATAAGATTCTTAGTCAATACAGAATCATAAAAATAAAAAAAGTAGAGGCCCTTTCACTCCTCCCTCTCTGCCCCACTCCCCTCTTTGAGGAAAGTCAACAGTTTGGTGTATAGCCTACCCAAACCTCTTTTCTGTGTGTAGACAGAAATTTATATTTGTATGTACACACACATTTTGTTTTGTCTTATATAACTGAACCACATGCCATATATGTATTGTTCTGTAACTTGTTTCTCCTCCCTTCCCATTCATCAACTTAACTGCCATGAAGATTTTGTCTGCTGTTTTCAGTTATTTGGAGCATAGCGAAATAATCAAAGAGTAAGCTTTAGAAACCTCTGAGCTGACAATGTAAGTGTCAGCTTGGGCACCCAAACTCATTTTATTTAGAGAAGAGCACAATTTATTCATATTTTAGAAACAGTGCTACCAGGTTTTGTATGGCTTCCTGGCCTGTAACAAATTATAAGGGAGAAGGCAAGCAGAAAGGAAAACAGCTGGCAAAACTGTAAAGCCAAACAAATCTCAAAAATCATTTACTGACCTGGAACATTTATTTTCATGATAGACAGTCATCACTAGTTTGTACCAAAGAGACAAGCAGTTATCAGTCGTTCTCTTTTTTCTTCATATCATTAGTTTGTGATTATTTTCTCTGGATTTCATGTTTAATTGCTGGCTTTCTCATGTTAAGGCATTCTGTTTGTCTTTATATTTATATCACTGTAATTTTTGGTTGTGATCTAGGTAAGAAATGTAAAGAGCACTTTTTTTTAGCTTTTGAATGCAAGCTTGATTGCAAAGTAAGAAACCTGTCTTATTTGATTCACAATTGTGGACATCTGGAGCATTTCCCTATTTTTTCCCTAATATACTTGTTCAGATGTATGGCCTGTAAGTACTTTTTACAGATAGATGCTATTAGAAGGGCACAAACCTTAATTTATCAACCAGCTGTTGTGGTATACTTAGAGCAAGCTTATTAAGGAAAAGCTTATGGTGATGGGTAGAATATCTGAAGGCTTTGCCTTTCACACATGAGAGGAAATTGTGTGGTAACAGGATGAAGCTAATTTGGGTCCAGTGTTAAATGCTGTTAGGAAAATTATTGCCTTTATTAGTCAAGAAGTAAAGCAGTACTTTTTTTTCCCCAACAATTGCTTTATATATTTATACAAAGTATTTTAACTGATTATTGATAATTGGAAAATAGCATCACTGAATTATTATTTAATTTGCTATTGACTTTTAAAAACGTGTGGTCTCCCAAACACCCTATGTAGAAGCACAAATACATATTGTGTGTATGACAGATAATATGCTTGACCCAGACACATTTGAATTTTTACAAGTATGGTTGACCTATCTTGCTCTTTCCCTGTATAAATGTAGATTTTCTTTTTTCTCTTTTTGAAGTTTCTTGTAAAGCTTATCTCTTTTTTTAAACTAGATTTCATTTATAAGAAAAATATTTAGGGATTTCTATGTTTTGATAAATCATTTTTGGTGTTAACTTTTGCACTTACTGCTTGTACCCTTCTGGGTAGAATCTTGAGTTGTTTCTCTATCAGATAACTTTGGAATCATGGTTAATACTGTTTCTTGCAGTGGAAGCGGACATGTTTTAAAAATCTGTGTTTGAGGGGAAGGGTATAGCTCAAGTGGTAGAAAAAGGTCCTGGGTTCAATCCCCAGTACCTCCTCTAAAAATAAGTAAATAAGTAAATGAACATAATTACCCACCCCCCCCAAAATCTGTGTTTGAGTGTCTGATACATATCCAACATAACTTGTGCTTTGGGAATTGAAAGATGTGTGGGTTTATGATTATGGATATTTATTTTTGACAGAGTTAAATACTGTCCACTTTATACTACATTCCTTAATATTTTAAAAAGTCACTGTGACCTATGTTTTTAAAAGAAGGATTTTGATGGTTTGGACAAATGAAAAATTCTCCGTATTTTAGAAGTAGGGGTAAAATCAGGGATTTTATTTTAAAATAACCTTTTAGAATGATGTCCCTAGTACTGCAATATACAGTTTAGGATTCTGTAAATTTTTAGGTGGAAAAGTGGACTAAAACATTTTCCATAGTTTTACAGTTTTAAGTCCAAAATATTTTCTAACCAGAAAATTCCATTGATTTGAGTTTTTATTCTGGTGTACATTTAAGTGTTCTAAGTTTGTTACATGTTCAGATTCTTCTGATGCTACCACTTGGGGATGGAGATATATATATATACATATATATATGTATATATATGTATATATATATCTCTTCATTCTATGTTGCTGTGAAAAAAGGCTTGCTTTCTGTCACAAGTTAACATTCACTCTGAATGAACTACCACAAGTTAGTTGCTTGGTAAGCTGGAGAAAGTTAAGGATTATTCTTCTTTAAGTATATAAATGTAGTAAGTACAGTGGAAGACTCTCAGGGAAAATAATGTATTTGAGTTCCTGAGGATTAGAAGGAATTAGAATATTGATTTTCAGTATAATTGGGTAATGAAATTTTCAGGGAACCTGGTCAGAACTCATTAAAATGAATCTTAATGTCAAAGAGTATATTATATCCAGAACATTTGAGGTTACAAAGTCAAAAAAAGATGAAAACTTATGAATTTTCTGAAGTGTTTTTCATGATTTTTACAAAGTAAAAAAATCAGTTTTTTGTTTTGCTTTATATTTTTAACTTACTGGGCATTGTTTGTTTATACTTTGTCACCCTAGACAGTTGTAACCATATACTTAGCATGCTGCCTGGAATTTAGTAGTTGCTTAACAAGTGGGTTTTTTTTTTTTGAATGGATAAATGTTCAGATGATCTGTAAGAGAAACCTTCTTCTAGTAAATGAAGTGCTAAGTTTTGAGGGTTTTTTCCAGTTAACTGATAAGAATCCTGCCCATGTCTGAATGAGTGTATGTGAGGGGACCTTGGAGCAGTGTTGTGTGTGTATGTCTGTGTCTGTCTGTCTTATCAGACAAGATGTCTTTTTGTGTTCTTTTTTTAATAGAATGATATAGGAAGTACAAAAATATCACTAATATTAACAAGACAAATGAGAATTAAGCCATTTTGGATTATTGAGTGGATTTTACTGTCCATTAATTACACATGTGGCCATGGTGTTCGGATGTTTCTCATCAATGACTGCATAGACAGCTGAGCCAATCAAGGGATTCAGGAAGCTGAGAAAGCAGTTGAATTATTCATCTACTGCAGCTCTGGACATTGATTCAAGACTTTGACTTAAACTGGTCAAGTATGAGATATACCATTAAGTGTAAAGTAAAAGAAGAAAAAGCCTTTCTCAACCGAGAGCCTGGTTTTGCTACTCTCTAAATGGTAGCCTTTTCTGAAACCTGAGAAAAAACATTTGCCTAGCACAGCTGTTAACTTCCTACAACTGAAATGCTTTCCATTCCCTTTAAAATAAGCCCTTCTGAAGCAGAATGTAGATCACATGTATCATCCAGACCAAAAAAGTTTGCTGAGACGACTCCTATCATTTGCCCTGGGGTCCGGAATCTTCGCATTCCAGGCAGAGCTCCAGCTGTTGGGATTTAGTTACCGGCTTGGGATTGGCTACGCCGCCTACTCTTTTCTCCACCCCTTAATTCTCACTGGGAGAAAGCTTTTAAGCCAGAGATTAAATGTAAGCACTGTCACCAGGCTTTCTGAGTGCAGTTGGCACCATGGGTGTGCTCTGGAGCAACTTCTGATTGCTCTGAGCCCCCTGCCCTGCCTCCCCTTTCACCATGTTTCCTCTGGCAAGATTTTAAGTACAGCAATTCAAGAAGATTTCTCCTCCCAAACTACATTATTCAGAAGTGTATTGCCTCTTGATTGCTGGAAAAGAATCTAATTCATTTCAAAAGTAACTTATGAACAAACTTACTAAAAGTGATGAAAGGAGCATTGAAATTGATGAGCACTAATTTTTCACTGTGCCAAAGTGTGCAGTGTCTTTCAGAGGAAACTATAACAGATCTGGTGAGTGTACCATGCCAGTGGGGAGAATTGAATGTCCCTCATCTCCCTCTTTCCCTAGGGACAGTAGTCATGAGTGCCGAGTGTGCGGGGTCACAGAAGTGGGTCTTTCTGCATATGCAAAGCACATTTCTGGCCAATTGCACAAAGATAACGTTGATGCCCAGGAAAGAGAAGACGATGGAAAGGGAGAAGAGGAAGAAGATTATTTTGACAAGGAACTCGTTCAGTTAATAAAACAAAGGAAAGAACAAAGTCGGTGAGTAATGATTTTGATATTTTATAAAGCCTGTCTGAAACAAAATGTAGTAGAGGATACATATTCTTTCCATACTTTTCAGCCTATAGCATTCAGACTTCTCATTTATAAAGTTTACCTTGCAGTTGCTGTCTTATTCATAAAAGACAATGGAATGCTTTCTTGAACTACTGTACTAACTGCTTTAAAAAAACAAACTCAGTATTGACCCTACATAAAAGTTAGCTATAGCTGCTATGTATCTGAAATTTTTACCATATTGATAACTATGTTTAGAACTGTTGTTATTAATTCCAAAAATTTTTGGATACCAATAAATAGTTTTTATTTGGTATCCAAATTTTCTAGTGGAAAGGTATTAGTGAATAAAGCTTCATTTAACTGTTATTATGTAGAGTTTCTTATTGTATCCCTTTGGAAAAAATCGTTTTGCCTGGTGTGAATTTACATGGTGCTTCTGCCAAATTTGATTTATCCCTTTATTATTAATTTCTTCAGTAAGTGTTTATTGAATAAACTTACATTTTAAGTTGAACAGTGTCAAGATCATTTCAGCAATATGTTTTATAGCTTGTACTACATAATTTCATACCTAACCTATAATTCAGGTATTAGCCTGCTTTATTTTAACCTTCCTGATTTGTGGTCTAAAGAGTTTAATTAATGAAGCAGAAAGTTTCATATGCGAGTAAAAGAGAGAGAGAACCAGTTATGAGATGGGGTAATTTTTTAAGTCTTGGGACATGATGACAAGCCTTTCAAATTCAAAATATTTTAAAGATCCTTCTTAAATACTGCTTGTACTTGGTCTGTATTTCATTTTCAATTAGAGATTGGATATAAAAAAGAAGTAGTTTTTATTCTATATGCTGAATGTTTTTTGAACAAGTCCTTGAAGGAGACTTTCTTAGTCTTAAAATGTCAGTAACAACATGGTTCTTAAATTGTTTAGTTATCCTTCAAATGACATTCCCACCACTGTCAGTATAGCTGTAGTTTACTCTCGTTTTAGGGTGTTGGAGCCTGAGGAGGCTAACTTCTATTTTTATTCTTACATTCTTGTGCCATTATTAGCTTATCTGTGTAAATGATTAAACATTAAGTTGGAGAGTAAAACAGCTTCTCAGTAAATTAGACATTCATATTATAGTTACTATTCTTTGATTATTTTAATATGCCTCTTTAGTGACCTATTTATAAAGTAATCTACTTGTTTCTTCCTGAGTTTTTTAATTAAGATTTTTCTTTTTGGGCTGTGGGTTTAGCTGCATGCTATTGCTCCCCTCCCTCCCCAATCTAGCCAATTCATAATGATATAGAAATTTTACTTAGTGACTTATTTATTGCCCAATTCTCACTTCCGGATCACATTAGTAGAGCCAAGTCAGTGATCTCCAGGAATGTCAAAAGTTGCATACTGTGTGCAAGTGTCTGTAGTAACGCTTGACCCTAAGGAGACTTAGAATCGCCTGTTTAGAAATGATTGTAATTCATAATGTAAATGGATGTTTAAACTTTTAGGTAAATTAACTTTCAATTCCATCTTATGAAAAAGGAAGAAATTCCAATTTGTGTCCAAAATCTTATAGACATTAGAAGATTTTAAAGCCAGTTATGGTCAGTACTGAGTTTAAGATTTAAGTCAAATTCAGAGAAGGGAACCCAACTGATGAAACTTGAGATTTTCATTCTGTCAAGGCCTGGTGGTTAAGAGTGTGGACTCTAGAGTCAGGCTGCCAAGTTTCAAATCTCTGCCATAACACTTACTGACTGTCTTACCTAGGCAAGTTTCTTAACCTCTCTAATCCTCAGTTTCCTTATCTAGAAAGTAGGAATAATAACACTTGCTGCAGAGTTGTAAAAATTAAATAATCTATGTAAAGTGCTTAGCATTAAATGACTGACAATTCGTAGATACTCAATAAATTTTAGTTAGTATTATTCAATTTTTTGAGCACCTGCCACATGCTAAGTGCTGAGCTAGGCATACCATAGGTATTTCTTAGAGGAAAATGGTTTTACACCTTTCCTGTGATGATTGCTTAAATTTATTCACATTTCTGTGGGTTCCTTGTCTAACATGAATAGTTCAAACAGCTGTAGCTTCTTTATAAAAACCTCCGGCTCATGGAGCTCCTTATAGCACTTACTGTGGGTGCTACTTATTTGTTATGTGCTATTTTACTCCTGCTTGTGACCTTATTTCCTTAGCTAGGTTGCAAGCCCTTCAGGAACAGAAACTGCGCATAAAAGGTTTCTTTCACCACTAACAGTCATTGAATCTATGCTTGAAAATTAATGAAAGTGATTATGCAAAGTAAAATTTTACAGTTTAAAATAGGTTGACACCTTTTTTTTTTTCCAGAAAGTACCAACTACTGAAGAAATCATGGTATATTAAGAGCAGCTGAATTTAAACTATATTAACTACGATAACAAACAATAGCTACAAAATATACTTGTTCTTATTTTCAAAAAGTTGTGTAATATAAAAATAATAATTAGATGATAGGGACAAAATCCCAGAACATGCCGAGAAAAAAAGGAGCAGGAAAGGGAGGATAGTATAAATGTGTCAAGTTTTTAATATTATGGGGGTGATGGGAGACTTAAGATATTAATTTCTAAGCCAATAAGTTGTGATATATGAGTTTGTGATATTTAAAGATAACAAAAACAACTACTATTTGAAATAAAAATAGACTCTATTCATATTTTGAGAAACAGAGGAGGAAGGCACAATGAAAGTTTGGTGGGTTATGCTTTGAAAGGGACCGTAAGAACTCCTTTAAATCACTAATGAAAGACTGCTTTTCTTCCAGACAAGAAGAACCTTCCACTAGCAGCCAAGAAATAAAATCTGATGACAGGCGACCCCAATGGAGACGAGAAGACCGAATTCCTTACCAGGACAGAGAGAGCTACAGTCAGCCACCATGGCATCATCGTGGACCTCCTCAGCGGGACTGGAAATGGGAGAAAGATGGCTTTAATAATACTAGGAAAAACAGCTTCCCACATCCTTTAAGGAATAGTGGTGGACCAAGAGGATTTTCCGGGTGGCATAAGGGTGTTGCAGGAGGCTCCTCAACTTGGTTTCACAACCATAGTAATTCTGGAGGTGGTTGGCATTCAAATAGTGGAATGGTAGATTGGAATCATAATGGTACAGGAAGGAATTCCAGTTGGCATTCTGAAGGAACAGGTGGCTTTTCCAGTTGGCATATGAACAGCAGTAACGGAAACTGGAAATCCAATGTACGTAGTACAAATAGCTGGAATTACAGTGGCCCCGGAGACAAATTTCAACCAGGCAGAAACAGAAGTTCTAACTGTCAAATGGAAGACATGACTATGCTATGGAACAAGAAGACTAAGTCAAACAAATACAATCAAGAGAGATACAATTGGCAGCGGCAAGAAAATGACAAAGTTGGTACAGTTGCCACATATAGAGGTCCTTCCGAAGGATTTACAAGTGATAAGTTTCCTTCAGAAGGCCTGCTTGACTTCAGTTTTGAGCAGCTGGAAAGCCAAACCACTAAACAAACAGACACCATAGCTTCCAAAATTGGTGGGAAGAATGGCAGTGTAGCGAGGGAGAAGCTTCGTCGCTGGACTCCTTATCCTTCCCAGAAGACTCCGGATTTACAATCAGGAATGAAAGAAGTCACTGGTAGCAAGTCAGAAAAAACAGATAAGCCTTTATTTAATTTTAGCTTGACAACCACAGGAAAACAAGAGCCCCAAATTGATGAAGCAAATAATTCCCCCATATTGAAAACACAAAAAGAAACGCATACTGGATCTCTTAATCACAAAGCCATTCCTGACTGCACTACTTCCTGTGAGGTGGTGAAAGAAGTCCCCATTACAGAAAAACCTGAACAAGAGCATAACTTAAATAAGGTGCCATCATTAACCAACCCCCTCCTTCCAGTTCCAATCACCAAATCAATTCCTCAAAAGCAAGAGTCAAAGAATCCCTCAAAAAACACCAAAACAAATTCTTATTTTCCTGGAGAATGCTCAAATCCCTTGAACAAACCCACTGTGGAAGATAATCATGGTTCTTCTTACATATCCAAATTGCGAAATTCATGTCCTCGTGTTTTAAAAGGGAATAAAAGTACTTTTGGACCTCAGAGGGAATCTGATGAAAATGTAAGTGATACTTTACAAAAAGCCAAAGAGGTGCTACAGTGTCGTGAGTCATTGCAAAATCCGCTTCTTAGCACTCCTAAAAGGACCAGGAACTATGCAAAAGCAAGTAGGAATGTAGAAGAGTCTGAAAAAGGATCTTTGAAGATTGAATTTCAGGTACATGCGTTAGAAGATGAAAGTGATGGAGAGATATCTGACACAGAAAATCATGAAACAAAAATTAGAGCTCTAGGTTCTGCAACTACAGAAGTTTTACCCTGCAGCACTCATGCTGCTGATGATAAAAAGGGGGGTGACGAAAACCTGAAAACACCTAGAAAATCATCCACTTCCCCGTGTAATTCAACAGTTCACCAGAAGGAATCTGAGTTACAGACAACATCTGTAGTCAGCCCACACTCTGGCTTACTGCTCGATTTGAAAACCCCTCTAGAAGATGCACAGGTTGATGACCCAGTTAAATCTCATGTATCTTATGAAACAGAAGGCTTTGAGAGTACTAGCTTGGATGCAGAGCTTCAAAAAAGCGATACAGGTCAGCCCTCAGGCCCTCTCCTGCCTGAACTCAGTAAGCTTGGCTTTCCTGCCTCGCTCCAGAGAGATCTAACCAGACACATTAGCTTGAAGAGCAAAGCTGGAGCACACCTTCCTGAGCCAAACCTCAACAGTGCTCGCCGCATTCGCAATATCAGTGGTCACCGAAAGGGCGAGACAGAGAAGGAATCTGGGCTCAAGCCAACCCTTCGGCAGATTCTAAATGCATCTCGGAGAAACGTCAACTGGGAACAAGTCATTCAGCAAGTAACCAAGAAAAAGCAAGAGCTAGGCAAAGGCTTACCCAGGTGTGTGCCTCTTTTCAGTATCCACTTCTTTTTTTCTTTTAAACTTACTCTTTGACCTTGGTCAAGAGAATTCTACTTGTTAAATTTAATTAAATATTTGCAAAAAGTATGCGTTGTAGATGTCTGGTTTAAATATCTAAGGGTGACTGCTATTCTATACAAATGGAATAAAATGTTTCTTACGGAATTTAGGTTAAAAAGAAGGAAACCTACTTCTGAGAAATGAGATGGGGACATAGAAAAAAACCATGGGAAATCCAGCGCTTTGGTGATAAGGGCCATAAAGTGACAGCATAAAAAAGTTTATCTATTAATCTATATCTAACTGTAGATCTTAATGAGTGATATAACTTTTAGGTATAATTGTTCTCATTACCTTTTACTTAGAATCTATGTTTGGTTATCCTTCTCTCTTTACTCTGGACATTGTATTTGTGATCACAAAATACTTTCTCTTAAGTACTTGTGTAGTAGTTTGGCTATTCATCTCAGTTTGAGGCATTAAACGTTTTCTGAATGGTAAAGCAGCATTCAACATAGCTTTGCCACTTGAAAATCGTCCTGCTACTTACATAGCCCTCCAGGCTTAAATTTCTAGCCTTGTTGACATAATGTATTTATTGTATCGTAACTTGTGAGTATTATTGAGATTATAAAGTTCTTAGCATGGTGTCTGCCACTTGTGAATGCTCAATAAAAATTTTTGTTTGTTTTTTTATTCATTTGCTGTTAAAAATTACATATTGTTGGTTTAGAGCTCCATATTCAGTAAAACCCTCAGTTTTTACTCCCTTTTTGTACATAGCTGTATATAAATATCTAATTAGAAATTTAAATAATAAAATTAGATATTTAAATACAGTTACTGAATTTATATACCCCTGTGGATTTTACCACCTCTGGAATATTGGGAGGGTTCTTGACCTTGAATTGTATATTTTTTTTAATCAGATACATTGATTCAACTAATGTTTGAGTTCATAGTGTATGCATGACACTCCTACTATCCTGTTAGTGGTGGTACTTGTTACATTACAATACTTAGAATTGCTTTATGTTTGGAACTCTCACTGGACTGTGAGCTTCTTGAGGGCAAAACCATCTTATTTTTATTTGTAACCTCAGTGCTTAATAGAGTCTGGCACTTTGTAGTGTCCCCCTCTCCCAGCCATGTCTGATTTTTTTTTTTTCTTTCTTGAGGTTTGGCATAGAAATGGTGCCTCTAGTTCAAAATGAACAAGAGGTCTTGGATTTGGATGGAGAGCCTGATCTGTCTAATCTAGAAGGATTCCAGTGGGAAGGTGTTTCCATTTCTTCATCACCTGGCTTGGCAAGGAAGCGAAGCCTTTCAGAGAGCAGTGTGATCGTGGACAGGGCTCCTTCTGTGTATACCTTCTTCAGTGAGGAAGGTACAGGCAAAGAAAATGAGCCACAGCAGATTTTTTCACCTAATAACTCGTTGAGATCTGCGCAGAGTCAGAAAACAACCATGGGCCTTAAGCAGGAAGTGACACCTCTGGCTGCATCCCTGAGAACAGGTGAAAGGGCTGAAAATGTTGCTACTAGAAGACGACATAGTGTGCAATTATCATCTGATCGTGCAACACCTTTGATACATTTGACAAAAGACCTGCATAGCCAAGAGAGCTCTACACCACCTCCAGAGAATCACAATGCCCAGGAGAGTAACGGAGAAGGAAATTCTTTATCATCAAATGTATCCCCAGCCCTTGGAATCTCCAGTTTGGCAGATGCAGCCACAGACAGTAGCTATACCTCTGGTGCTGAACAGAATGACAGTCAGAGTATTAGAAAGAAACGAAGAGCCACTGGAGTGAGTATGATTGCTGTGCTTTTTGTAGAACATTTCACGCGGTGACTTGGCTGTGATAAGAAAGACTTAACTGTTTCAATTATTCTTGGGTATCTGGGGTTGCCATTCTCCCTACTCTGGAGTAGATTTCTGAGGCTCTTACTCTTAACTTTCATATTGTTATCCTGCCGGTTTCTTTCACTGAGTAACTCTACTAAGTTAGATGTAATTGAATATGAATGTACAGTACTAGGAAAATATGAAGTCATCTCTAAAACTAGTCTCTAAGCCAGTGATTTCTTTGTATCACCTGACCAAGCAATGAACCACATCTTCAGCTGTAACTTTATCTGCTTTCATGATGCATTCTGTACTGCTGCTGAGGAAAGCTGCTCTAGTGTTGCATTTTGGGGCATGTATGCTTGTCAGACTCAGGACTACTAGACTTAGCACTAAGGTAGTTTTAATATTATGAGAGTACATCTATATGAACATAGTCTTAGGAATATTTTTAGCCTCTGTTACTCTATCTTTTATACTTCAGTTACCCAGCCTGGTCCTTTTAGAATTCATTCTTTCACTGATGCCACTTCTCTTTTGGCACCTCTGTTACGAATATTGCTTAAAACCCTTTCAGGAACCTTTTCTGACAAAAAGGAGTTGCTGTTGGTGATACAGTCTGAAATCTGGCACTGTGAGAAAATGGGCTGTTTCCTTTAACATTGAGACAATATAACAAAGTAGTTAAAAGCATGGATTGTAGGTCTGGGTTCAAATTCCAACTGTACCCTTTTGAACTCGATTCTGTAGTAGATATTAGATGAGAGGTTGTCCTATGACAAGGTAATATCTTGAGGCTTGTCTCATAGACTGTTGAGCTTCTTGTTGTAAAGATTTTCTTGCTAAAATCTAAAGTAGGAACTATGAAGTTAGATACATGTATTACTAACCTTTACCAAAGTGAAATGCATTGCCTAACCCCTGTGGACTTTACCACCTCTGGAATATTGAGAGGGTTCTTGATCTTGAATTGTATGTATTTTTTTAATCAGGTACATTCATTCTACTAATAGAGTTCATACCATGTGCATGACACTCCTACTATCCTGTTAGAGGTGGTAGCAATAATGAAGAATAATGTATGAGTAAGAATTAATTCTTTCTTCCCTCCTGGATAATGACCTTTAACATATTTAATATTATTCAGTTTTCTTTCTCTCCTTAGGATGGATCTTCACCTGAACTCCCAAGTCTCGAAAGAAAAAATAAAAGAAGGAAAATTAAAGGAAAGAAAGGTATAGTATAGAATATTCTGTAGGAAAGAAACTGTTATTACAGCAGTTCAGCCTTTTTACAACTCAACACAAAGTGTACCTTATCAAACATGGATCGCCCATTTATTTATTTGCTTTTTTGTTGTCTTCCTTAAGGACATAGAAAAAGTTTGATTTCCTAGTATATCCATTTGCAGCTATAGAAGAAATATATGATGCCACTTGTACCTGTAAACTAAAGTTAATGTATATCTTGGACAAATTGAGTTCAGTATAAAGCCAGAAAGAAAGTCTCACTGGGCTTTTTCAGTGGAATGAAGAGGAATAGGGCATTTAGTAAAAATTTTGTCCCTCTTGGTCATTTATAGCCATTTCTCCCACTTTCCATTTTTGAGGCATCTTGGTTGCTTTTCTCATGTGAATTAAGGAGAGAAGTTATTAGTGTGGCTTCCTGACTAATATGCTTTTATGCTTTTTTTTGCTCTCCACTGACTCTAACCCATTCCACTGTTAGGGCTAGTGTAGGAAGTGATTGGATGAACCTTGGGTGATCAGATGAACCTTGGGTGGTTGGATGTGATGGGTAAGGTAGGAGTCAGGGATGACCCTTGTTTCTGTCTGGGGCAGTTGTGTGGATGATGGTATTATTTGCAGGGCTAGAAAATTTCATGAGAGTTGCAGATTGAGGGTAGAGGAAGATGGCAAGTTCCCTTTTGGATCCCTTGCATTAAAGGACTTTAGAGATACCTAGGTAGAGATACCAGGTTGGTAGTTGGATATATGGGTCTGGAGTTTAGGGGAGAGGTCTTGGCATATTGGATAGGAAAGAGACAAACACAGAAGTGACAAATACATACACATAGTAGAAAATTTTTGCGAGGCAGCTTAAATGTACTATTTCAAAGCTATATTTTCTTTAAGGTGCCTCCTCTAATAGAGGGAACTATTTTAAATTAACAGATTAGAAAAATACGGATCGGGAGGAAAGTGCAAGCAGTTCAGGTCTGACACCTAATCTAAGCAAAAGCCTTGGGTAAAGAGTGTAGTAGATAAAGGAAGATGGAAAATGAAACCTGCAACAGCTGATTTGCCGGGGGCAGAGATTTCACTTGAAAGTGTCCTGGTGGAAGGTGGGATTTGGTAATATGGTACCCTGTGGTGGTACACTTACCTAGGAGACACCTCCATCATACCAGCTCTTACTTTCCGTTTCTGACACTAACAACATCAGGCTTGACTACATGGTTTGTGAAATTTGATGAGTCTCCCTCTAGTGACCTACTGCGGAGAATATAAAGGTTTATCCTAGATAATTGATGTAGTTGCATCTTCTGAGAAGCTGTATTATTAAAGAGAAGTCTCCAGTATTAAACTGAACTTAATGGTTTCTTTTGACAGAACGTTCTCAAGTTGACCAGCTGCTGAATATTTCTTTAAGGGAGGAAGAACTAAGCAAATCATTGCAGTGCATGGATAACAATCTTCTGCAAGCCCGTGCAGCACTTCAGACAGCTTATGTTGAAGTTCAGAGGCTACTTATGCTCAAGCAGCAGGTAACAGCAGATGGGACGTTTAATGAAAATGGATTATCTTGAAGTTGGACTTCAGAATGCTTAACAAAATACTTTATTTTTAGATAACTATGGAGATGAGTGCACTGAGGACCCACAGAATACAGATTCTACAGGGATTACAAGGTACTCAGAGAATCTGATGGATTGGGCCCTCTGTAGCTTATTGCTTTTTTGCTCACTATAGAGGGGGATTAAAGTAGTCATGAAAAAGGTCATTTGATTTCTTTCATGTCTCCTTGGTTTCATCCTTCTGTAGGAAGGCCTGTGAGACTGTATATCCCCAAAACGCTTAGCAGTGGAGACGGTATGTTAACAGAAAGAGACTTAGATTAGGAATCCCAAAATGTGTATTCAAATATTGAGTCCTGCATTATGACTTTGAATAAGTCACTAAAATCTGAAAAGTTGGAATATTAATGCCTGTTCTGTCTGTATCCTGGGTGGTTGTATAGCTTATGTAACTATCTATTTTGAAGAATTTTGAGGGACTTTAAAATTCTCTTGTAATCTTTAAAAATACAAATTGGCTCAGAAGTGAGTGACTTTTCAGGTAATATTTTTGCATTTGTGTGTGTGTTTCCATTCTAGAAACATACGAACCTTCTCAGCGCCCAGACCAGGTTCCGTGTAGCCTTACACGAGAACAAAGGAGTGTTAGATCTCAGTCATCTGCTGATGCCACACTGCTGCCTGCTCCCTTTTTCCCAGTTTTTCTGGAACCTCCATCTTCCCATATGTCTCCATCATCCACTGGAACCCCTCTCCAAGTACTCACATCTACTTTCCAAACCCCTGGCAGCGTTCCTGCTCCAGACTCATCAGTTCAGATTAAACAGGAACCCATGTCTCCTGAACAGGATGAGGATGTGGATGCTGTGTCACAAGGCTCTGCTTGCATTTTGTCCAAGGAATTACTGCAAGCTAATAGTATGTAAATTTCCTCTGGGTTAAGGGCAGCTCTATAGTGGGTCTGGGGCAATTTTATATCAGTGCTGTAACATCATACTTGTCCATTAAAACTAAAGTTACTACAGTTTTTCTTGAAGTTTCCTTATTCAGGAGGATTATTTAAATATTAACTTTTCCTTATTTTCTTTAATGTAGGATTACTGAATTGACTTTGGATTCACACCTAACAGGTTCCATTTTTTAGGATTGGTGAAGAATTATTTGGTTTTTGTGAGATAAGTGGCATTGAAGTTGTTCAGTCAATTTTTTTTAGATATGATGCAGCCTCTGAATTTCTCTGTACCTACCTGTCTTTATCATTTCAACTACAAACCAGGATTAATATAGACCTGAGGGGCAGGTGGCCATGATGAAAGGCAGAGGACTCTGGGGCTTGGAATCACCTAATAGGAACTTGGGTGATTTGGGGAAATAGCCAGGGTTTTTACTCTTAAGTGAAGTTTGTATTGTGAGAATGGTACTATGTTGAAAATTAAGTAAAAAGCAAATAAATTGACATTGTGCAATTTTTTTTTTAGAGCAAAAACAAAGTCTTAAGAATTACCCTAGATTTCGCCACCTGTTGCAACACTAATCATTGATACCTATATCAAATGCGTATTATCTCTCATGTTGAATTTTGTTACTTTTATGTGGATAGAATTTAGTATTTTTTTAAAAACTTGTAGTATTTTTCCCCCAAAATAGCTTTTATTAGATTTTCTTTTGATTGCAAAAGTAATTCATGTTCACTGTAAAATATTGGGAAACTATAAAAATGTAGATTCATTATTTTGTTACATATTTCAGTCTTAAATTATAAATGTGTTTACATGGAGCCTTTATACAAAGGATGACTTGTATTCTGTTATAACTTGACTTTTTCCCACTTACTTAATCATGATCATTTCCCTGTGATATAAAAATAATTCATCTAAAATGTTGTTTCACTGGTTTCATGATATTTCAGAAGTTGCACAATACTCTGGATATGTAAATAATTTATATGATCTCCTTTGAATATTTAGGTTTTTTCCCCTTTTTTTGTATTCTGCACTACATTATATATGTCTTTGACTATGTCTGTAATTATTTCATCAGTTTAAATTCCTAGACATGAAATAACTAAGTCAAAGAAAATAGACACTTTTAAGTCAGCTGACTTTTAAACTACTAGTATGTAGCTAAATTGGACAATATATAAGTAAAGTGCATAGTAAAAAACTTCTAAAAAATAAAGGGGAAAGCACTTCAGCTAAATAGATATATGAGAGTCTACTAAGAGTAAAACACATTATTTAATATGTGGCCCTTTCAAACTAGAAAGAAAAAAGATCAATAGAAACAATCCCTGCCCATAAAAGGAGCTTTTTTAGAGTACAAGACATGCATGTTATTTGTGAGATTAATGCAAGACAAAGTGTGTAAGTATTATCATAGAAATTTGTGTAGGTTATGGGAAACTGAGGGGTGAGATAACAGCTTTAGCAGTCGTGGTTTAGTTAACATGTTATCCAAATGTCATTGTTTGGTAGAAATTCAGTGATAATTGCAGTTTATGACTATAAATGGCAGAAACACAAAAAAATGCGGTAATTTTTTTTCTTTCTCAATTCAGGAGAGATCAGTGACAGTTGTCCAGTTTATCCAGTCATCACTGCAGCATTGTCCATATCAGAGCTAACAGAAAGGTTCCATGAGCCTAGCCAAGAACTTAAACTTTCCATGGAGCAAGAAAATACCAGAAATGGAGGGGACACCCCCCCTTCTCAGTCAGCTGGTCCCCCTAGCATGAACAGGGAAAGTGAAGAGCCATCCAGAGGCAACAGCGGGTCTGAAGCCTGTGCTAGTTCTTTTCCAAGATTGTCCTTTGCTTCAGAAACCCCTTTAGAGAAAGAGCCCCACTCTGCAAATGACCAGCCAGAACAACAGGCTGAGTCCACTCTGACATCAGCTGAAACTAGGGGGAACAAGAAAAAGAAGAAACTTAGGAAGAAGAAAACTCTACGGGCTGCCCATGTTCCTGAGAACAGCGACACCGAACAGGATGTATTTACTGCTAAACCTGTAAGGAAAGTAAAAACTGGGAAGTCTCTTAAAGGCGCGAAAGTGACAACCTCTACCTGGGAAGATAGCAGAACTGGCCCAGAACAAGAGAGTGTCAGAGATGAGCCCGATAGTGACTCGTCTCTAGAAGTCCTAGAAATTCCTAATCCTCAGTTAGACGTGGTAGCCATTGATTCTTCTGAATCTGGAGAAGAGAAACCAGACAGCCCATCTAAAAAGGACGTTTGGAACTCCACAGAGCAAAACTCGTTAGAAGCTTCTCGCTCTGGTTGTGATGAAGTAAGCTCTACCAGTGAGATTGGCACTCGCTATAAAGATGGCATCCCTGTAAGGTAAGGCTATTTTATTGTTCCAGTCAGAAAAGTTTTCACCATTCTTTTCTTAGAAAATATAACTTTGTTAGGAATCAAAATTTTTTGAAGAATCACATTTATAGAAAATCGGTAGGGAGTATGGATGTGGAAGAATCAAACCTTACAACAGAGATTTTCTTTCTCATTTGTGTTGTAAATATCTACTATACTTCTATTTCCTTTCATATAGAAGTTTCAGATGGAAAAATTGATCTCTTTATTTTGCCCGTTGTTTAGAACAATCCTTTGAGTCAGGAAAGTAAGTTTTACTACCTGTCCTATTCACACGGATGCTAAGAAGACTTTTGCTGTTATTTTGTAGTGTGGCAGAAACTCAGACTGTGATCTCCTCCATAAAAGGATCAAAGAATTCTTCAGGTATTTGATTATTCAGTTGTATTTAAGGGAATTACAAAAAGGCTTGCAGGGTTTAAATCTACTTAAATATGCTTACAGGGGTCGGGGACTGGTCTTCCCACCAAGGGGATTGCTTTGACCAGCAAATCCTCAAATCTTGAATTTCAGTTTCTTACTCCTATCTCTCTTATCTGGCTCTCTTACTTGTTCAACTATTAGTTCGGTTAGCCTTCTGGATCTTTGGTTCCCACATCTGTGGATTCAGTAGATTGTGTAATACACATTTACTGAAAAAAATGTGTGTGTAAGTGGACCTGCACAGTTCAAACTGTGTTGTTCAAGGTCAGCTGTAAATGGGAGGATGTGTGTAGGTTACATGCAAATACTATACCATTTTATATAAGAGACCTGAGCATCCCTGGATTTTTATATATATGGGAGGTTCTGGAACAAATCTCCCCTTAGAAACCAAGAGACAACTCTATTAAGATTTTGTTGGCTCTGGGGATTTCTGCTTTGAGAAGGAGCTGCGTAAAGAATGATGCCTTCCTCAACAAAATAACTGGCAGCAGAGGAGACTGGATGTGGAGAGATATTTGGAGCCTTACAGGTATCACTCAAAACTTCATTGTCTAAGTATATATCTTTTTCCTAAGTGAAAGGTCTTCCCTGCTTTCTCTTATTATGAAATCTTCAGAATGGAGATCACTAATGAAAAATGTGATGTTTTGCTGAGGGAATGAGGCTTTAAGGAGAATCCAGGGACCACTTTATTGTAGTGGTTTTAATTTTGGAGTATCTTTTCAGAAACAAGCAGACATGTTTCTGAAGCATATTCTTATTTTCTAGAAATATCTTCAGAGCCAGGAGATGATGATGAGCCCACAGAAGGGAGCTTTGAGGGGCACCAAGCTGCAGTGAATGCAATTCAAATATTTGGGAACTTACTCTATACTTGCTCAGCAGATAAAACTGTCCGAGCTTATAATCTGGTGGTAAGTTAATATATCAGTCTGAATGTTTTTGGTTGTTTGCAGGCTTTAGAAACTCTAGCTTGTACTCCCTTAAACAATTGAAGTTTATTTGCTGCCCACAGATGGAATGGGCTTTAAACTAACTTTAGATACAATTGATCTGATGGCTCACTAGGGTCAATGGGGACTTAATTTCTTTCTGTCTGTCCACTCTGCCTTCTCTGGTATCCTTCTTCCTAAAGCTAATTCTCCTCCTGTTCACAGGTAGATGTCAGAGGCCACCAGAGTTTCTTTTCCCTCCCACCACCAAAAAAGAGCCCTGTGCTTTCCTCCTTGAATAATCACTTGGCAAAAGGAGATGAGGTTATAACAATACATTTGGGCTGGTCAGGCCCCAGCCTTTGGGTTGGCGATTAGGTCAATACCATAGCTGCTACATAATAGAGAAGGGATACAATGCATATTGGGAAAGTATTAGAGGAGTCGTTTTCCCTGAGGGTCAATTAATTGTCCCAAGTTATTAAGAGAAGCAACAGTTTTCCACTGCTCCACACTTAGTATAATCTGATGCTCATTATTCTCAGCTGCCATAGAATGGACTTGTGAGTTTTGAATTTAGTATACGTCATACCAACTCTGTTTATAAACAATGATTTTAATGAAGAAACTTTAGGAACACTATGTTGTCTGAACAAACACTGTGAAAATATTTGAAATTGATGAAAGTCCTTGGAAATCAAAAGATTAGATGATCGAATATATGTGTATATATGCATGACTGGGACATTGTGCTGTACACCAGAAATTGACACATTATAACTGACTGTACTTCAGTTAAATAAATGAAGATTAGATGATGAACCAAGAAAATGTGTTTGCTGTGAGCAAGGGGTATATAGATTCCTTTAGCTTAATGATGTGAGGGGCAACAGGGATGACTGAAGGAGAAAACAATGATTCTAGGAGGTATGAGTGTAAGATTTGGGAATTGGCTTTAACTTTAAATTGCAAGATATATGCATTCTAAATAGATATCAGTATGGGCATAGTTAACAGGATGTTCCCTTATGAAACCACAACTGGACCACTAGGACCTGTGGGGGCACCTGACATGTCTTTGAATATTTGTGGAGCATTGTCACAAGCTACTGATCAAATGTAGGAACTTATCTGGGTAATTAGCTGTAATTTGGATTTGCTAGATCTTTGGTCCACATGTTGGAGATCCTTGCCCTAGATGTTAGTTAAAATTCTTGCCTGTCTTAACAGCAAATTGCCATAAGTATTTTTTGGTATGACTCAGTTAACGTAAAGTTGCAGGTACCTCAGTACGTGTAACTGTTTGCTGGGCATTCAGTGAACAGGAATTTACTGAACACCTTTTGATCTCAGGCACTATTCTAGGCACTGAGGATCCAACGATGAACTGTATGTTTTTGCATCCTTTTTTTTTGAAGAAATGTGTTATCTAATTTGCCTACATCCACAAGTCATGATTTGATCTCTGCTTGACTTTAGAGTCGTAAGTGCATTGGTGTCTTTGAGGGCCATACCTCCAAAGTGAACTGCCTCCTGGTCACCCAGACCTCTGGAAAGAATGCTGCCCTTTACACTGGTTCCAGTGATCACACCATTCGCTGCTATAATGTTAGGGTAAGTGGGTCCAGAGAAACGAGAAGTGAGACTATTGAACTGCTTTGGCCGTATTTACTGTGTAGAGTGGAGGCTGAAACAGATGCTTCATTCTGCTCACTTTCTTGCTTGTGCGCCTATTTTAGTACACTTGTATAACCCTTGGTAGAAATGAGGCTTAGATCTAAACCATATTTTCTGTCTCTCTCCACCAATATCTTTTCATTTACTACTTAGTTATATACTTCCCTTGATCCTTCCAACAAATATTACTCTTTTTATTTTCACATCATTTGCCAAAATTAATCCTAGACAGAAAAAGAGTTAAATGTTTAAATTTTTTAAACCAGAAGACTTAAAATTAGGTATCTCCTCTGAGAAAGAATTTTCTAACCCTAAATGCATTGAAAGAAATGAGAGGAAATAATTTGTGTTAAAAAATATATACATATATTCTTTTTTTTTTGAACACAAATGTTCATAGCAGCTTTATTTGTAATAACCAAAAACTGGAAACAACCCAAACATCAATCAACTGGTGAAATGTAAACAAATGATTTTATATCCATACAATGAACTACTTCGTAGCAATAAAAAGGAATAAACTTTTTTTTTAACATTTTTAATTGAGTTATTGTCATTTTACAATGTTGTATCAAATTCCAGGGTACAGCACGATTTTTCAGTTATACATGAACATACATATATTCATTGTCACATGTTTTTCCCCACTGTGAGCTACCGCAAGATCTTGTATATATTTCCCTGTGCTATACGAATCC